GTGCGATTACTGTTTTAAAAATCTTTTGTATACCAAAAAATTATTGAAATAACCTGATTTTTCAAATAAAGTAATTTTTAGATGAAGAAACACGACGTGCATGAAGAAGAGGGGACCGCATTCATGCTGGAAGCCATCAATATAGCTGATTATGTAAGTGATTTCCTATTTCTTTATACAAACAAAAGAAGCAACATGTAGGTATAGAAGCACGTGTCATCTCAAGTCGAATAGAAAGGATGAAAGAAATTAAGGAAGTAGAAATCAGCCAGCACATTTCGAAACTAAACTATGAGATATGCAGCTCAGGATCGAAGGGGAGACACAAAATTGTTTTACTGTTTTTGTTATGAGGCAGTAAATTTTGAAAGGATAGTTTATGTTAGTGTAAAAAACAGTCACAAAAATTTTCCATTAAAAATATTTATTTTTAGTATTAAATTACCAAATACCACTGTAAAGAATAACATCACAAAAGCGGCATTCAAAATGAACTCTCTGTCCCCCTCCTCGCTCCGCCTCAGTACTTCCCGTTTTTTGAAGGGCTGAGGCACTTGGAAGTGATAAAAGTTACTATCTGAAACTAATATTGGTGCAAACATTGTGCTGCGTGATATCCTCGACACTGTGTATTGTTATTATTTTGTACTAAATATTGCTACTTGTTTCTCAGAATTCCTTCCCTACTCGCACTCTATGAGAATCGTAGCCCGAGTAGTGTCAAATAGCATATCAATTTGCCCAGGCAGTTCGCTGTGCTTGATTAATTTATTCAATTAGATAGATGGTCGAGGATGATGTGAACAAGTAGCTCGGGACACACATCACATCCTGTAATGCAAGCCGACTGAACAATTTTAGCAATATGTTTAGGGGCCCAGGGAATTGACCATCTGTTGCTGCCCGTTTGCATTCTAACAATATAGTAATTATTCAAAGCGGCGTCTCGTCGGCAGCTTTAAAGGGCATACATTTGACGGTGCCCTTTCTGGACAGTCCCCGTCCTCTCCTCCCTCTGGCTCCGTCCCGGTTCGCAACATTCCGCTTTGTTTGGGTTGCTTTTTTTTACAGTATTGAGGAAAAAGTGCTGAAATTAATTTGCTTCCTGATCGGGCGCAGTAGTTTTTGCTTGTCTGGAATTTCACTGCGAGGAAATTTTTCTTATTTTTTTTTGAGGAAGGGAAGGAGAGTTTTGTCATATCAGGTTACAGAGTTACCAATTGGAGTTTGGGGTCACTTTTTTGACCTTGTACTTGAACACTGTCTATACATTTAAAATTTCAAGAATGTTGCTTCGGTAGTTCTGGAGATATAAAATATGCATTTAAGTACCCGTTTGGTTAAAATTGCGGTAAAAGATTGTTCTCAGTCAACTCCGCAGAATTTTCTTTTCAGATGTTTTCGCGTGATTTGAATATACGTTTAGCGGTGGTTTATCTGGAAGAGTGGCTGGATGAATCACGCATCGATTATCACGATGACATTGAACGTACGTTGAGCAGTGCTGTGGAGTATGTCACTGGTCATATTTACCACATCGGTTAGTAAATTTTTTTCTCAGTTTATCAAGAGGAAATAAAAAAAAAACTGAAATATCAGGTTGGACCGGTGCCAATAGTTCCCCATCTATGGGCAGCAAACATGTTCAAGTCTGTTTGACTTTCTGGGTATAGGAACATCGGTACTAATTTATCATTGGAACAAATGAAGGGAAAGGGATAGGGTTGGTTTTTAGAGGTGGATTCCGGGAACGCTCCGCAGA